CAGGGAAAACATCAGAATAAAGACAATGGACTTCAAGAAGGCAGACTTTAGCAAACTTAGATAATTGGTTGGTAAGATCCCATGGGAAGCAAGTCTAAGTGGGAAAAAGGGTTCAGAAGAGTTGGCAGTTTTTTAAAGAGACATTATTAAGGGAACAAGAGCAAACTATACCAATGCAGAGGAAAGATGAGAAGTATGGTAAGAGGCAATGCTGGCTTAACCAGGAGATTGTCAATGATATGAAAACTCAAAAAAGAGTCATACAAGAAGTGGAAACTAGGTCAAATTACAAAGGATGAATATAAAAACAACCCCACAACACAAGCATGAAGGGACAAAATTAGAAAGAGCAAGCACAAAACAAGGTTAAACTAGTTGGGAATATAAAGGGTAACAAGAAAGCAGTTTACAAATACATGAGAAGCAAGAGGAAGACCAGAAACAGGATAGGGCCATTACTACATGAGGAAGGAAAGAGAACAGAAAACGCAGCATGGCCAAAACGTTAAATGTCTTTTTACTTATTTTTTGTCTTTTGGGGAGTTGCGGGGACAGTTGCGGGGATGGTGCTGGGGGTGGGGGCAGCGTGCGGAGCCACCTCACCCCGCCTTCTTCCCCCATGCCCCCAGGGGAACAGAGATGTGCCAGCAGCCATACACTTCCGAGAGTGGCATGGTGCCAGGGCAGGCAGGCAGTCTGCCTGAGCACCGCTGCGCTGCCAGACTTTTAGCGGCCTAGAGATCGTGATCAACTGGAAGAGGCTCCAGGATCAAGCAGTTGAACATGATTGATGGGTTGGTGACCACTAGCCTAGACGATCCTTCTGTAAGGTGAGAGCACAACAGTCTGGAAAACCATACTCAGAAAGTAGTTATCAATGGTTCACAGTTAAGCTGAAAGGGCACATTGAGTGGAGTCCTGCAGGGATCTCTCCTGTGTCTGGTTCTGTTCAATAACTTCATAAATTATTTGGATCATGGCATAGAGAGTACACTTATAAAGTTTGCAGACAATACTAAGCTGGGAAGGGTTGCAAGTGCTTTGGGGGAACAGGATTAGAATTCGAAATGATCTTGACAAACTAGAGAAATGGGAGTTAAATAGGATGAAATTCACTAAGGACAAATGCAAAGTACTACACTTAGGAAAGAATAATCAATTTCACAAATACAAAATGGGAAATGACTGCCAAGGAAGGAGTATTGCAGCAAAGGATCTGGGGGGTCATAGTAGATCACAAACTAAGTATGGGTCAACAATGTAATACTGTTGCAAAAAAGCAAATATTCTAGGATGTATAAGCAGGAATGTTGTAAGCAAGATATGAGAAATAATACTTCCACTCTACTCAGTACTGATAAGACCTCAACTGGAGTATTATGTCCAGTTCTGGGAACCACACCTCATAAAAGATGTGGACAAATTGGAGAAAGTCCAGAGAAGAGCAACAAAAATGAGTAAAGGTCTAGAAAACATGAGCTATGAGGGAAGATTGAAAAAAATTGGGTTTGTTTAGTCTGGAGAAGAGAAGACTGAGGGGGGACATGATAAAAGGTTTTTACAAGGAGGAGGGAGAAAAATTGTTCTCCTTAACTTCTGAGGATAGGACAAGAAATGGGCTGAAATTGCAGCAAGGGCAGTTTAGGTTAGGCATTAGGAAAACCTTCCTAACTGTAAGGGTATTTAATTACCTCAGGAGTGTGCGGAATCTCCAACACTGGAGGTTTTTTTAAGAACAGGCTAGACAAACATCCATCGGGATGGTCTAAATAATACTTAGTTCTGCCTCAGTGCAGGGGTCTGGACTAAATGACCCATCGAGATCCCTTCCATTCCTATTTTTCTATGATTCACACATGTTCACCATGGGAAGATTAATGCATAATCAATCAATAAATGACATAACTCCAAAGCAGAAAAGTACCAACATTAAAAGTAATTTATGAAAAACTAGGAGTTGATAACCAGTAAGAACCTAAAATACTGCTATATCTTTTAGAGATCTGATAACACTGCACCTTGTTACATACCAAAGACGTTAAAGATGTCTAGAAATTATAAATGTCATGAAGTAGAAAGCAACTGTTGAAATGTTGAAGAAACAAGCAGCTCATAAAAAGCTGGAGCACTGACTAAATCTTGATTGTCACTATTCAAGTTCATTAATTGACTGATCCTGCTTCACTGAAATCGATAGAAGAAATTGGACAAGCCCACATTCAGTAGCACAACAAAAGTGCAAGACATAACAGAAGTAAGAAAGTTGCACTATGAGAAAGGAGACAGCAAGTACTCTGATGTACTGGGCAGACCTGATGAGCTGGACAGTCCTGATATGCCATCCTGCTCTGTGGCAGTATGATTCACCTTGCACAGGACTCACCTACTGGCATGCCTGCATAGATGCTAGTGTTTAGTCTTCCAGTGGATAAGGAGGATTTAGCCCTACATTTCTTAGCCATTTTCCTTTATCCTTCTCCAGAATATCAAGAGTGTTAATGATTACTTGACAAATGTCAGGATTTAAGTGAAAGATTTTTTGGGGAAGTTATACAAACTACAAAGGAGGAGTCTTGGGGTATACTATTATATCACTTCAGATGTAGTATTAAGTCCCCAAACTACTCTAGGAGGAAGGAACTGCAGTGCCTTTATACTAAAGGGGGGTGGGGGGAAGGAATTTCTGACCTGCAGGTAATTTCAAGATTTCAAAATATTGTTTAATCCCAAACTAGGAAGAAAATCTGAAATCTTGGAATTTTCATTAAATGTTTCTTCTTTGTCATATTGACTATTATATTCTAATTTATAATACAACAAAAGTTCAAACAAATGTTTCAGTTTCATTGAATCAATATTTTTCAATGGAAAACTGTTCCATTTGAATATTTTCAAACAGCTCCAATATTAACAAATGTTACATATTCTGATGCTATTTTAAAACATTTCCTTATTCTGGGGGTTGGGGGGAGGGGCATCAACAGCAGCTGCCCTTTCATACAGTAGATTTCATGCTCTAAAAAATAAAACAAAAAAACCCCCCAAACAACTTGTTACTGAAAGCTTGATGTAGTTGAAAGACAGCCACCTATTTTAGCTTATCTAAAATGTTATATGTAAATACGCTCTCCAAGAAAGCTTAAGATATTAAGCTCAAGATGTACTCTTGCCTAAAATATCAGACACATACAGCCAAATTTTCATGTGTTACAAAATTGAGAGGAGAATTTGTCCCATGTGTATGCAGTAGCAGCTGTACAGTGGTCTAATGGTCTTATGTGACCATGAAGAAATTCATCTCCCTGACACCCACAGTTGCCTTGTGAAAAGCCTGTGAATTTCCCAAGAAGAATGAAATAATCTGCCAAAACCATGGGTAAACAAACCTCTGAAATTGCCTTTGTAAATTGAACATTTTGTACATAAAGCTTAACTAGATGGGTAATACAATATGATGCTTACCCTTTTAAATTCTGTAGTTAAAAGATTGCAGACAAAATTTTCAGAAGTACCTATGTGACTTAGGAGACATTCCCATTTTCAAAAGTGACTTAGGCACTTCAGAATCTAAGTCTCATTGGATCTCGAAATCACTTAGGCACTTTTGCTCTGTGTCTTTTTAAAGAGTGTTCAGGAAATTAGAATTTTGCTACTTCTACAGGATGTCCATTGTTCATAACATTTATTTTTCTGTACATTATTCCATTTTTAAAATGTTACTGTTTTCTAGAGGAAAGCACAGGGAAAAGATTTATTATTTTGTATAAATAGAAGTGTGTAGTAGATTAGATTACGTCTATAATCTAGATCAGTGGTCCTCAACCAGGGGTAACCATACTTCTGGGGCTATGCAGAGGTCTTCCAGGGGTACATCAACTCATCTAGATATTTGCCTAGTTTTACAATTGGCTACATAAAAAGCACTAGCAAATTTTCATACAATTTCAAATTTCATACAATCTGTTGTTTATAGTGCTGTATATATTACACACTGAAATGTAAGTACAATATTTCTATTCCAGTTGATTTTATGATTATATCGTAAAAATGAGAAAGTAAGCAAGTTTTCAGTATTAGTGTGCAGTGACACTTTGTATTTTTATGTCCACTTTTGTAAGCAAGTAGTTTTTAAATGAGGTGAATCTTGGGGATACAAGACAAATCAGATTCCTTTAAGGAGTAGAGTAGTCACTGATCTAGATGATACTGTATTGCACTCCTATAGATTTAGAAACATGATAATAGAAACAGCTGCAAAGGGTCTGGCAGAGAAAGATTGTAAGAATACTCTATTGTAGAGGTTCTCAAACTGTGGTCTGCGGACCATTGCTCCATTCAGGTGGTCTGCGGATAGTTCCTTCTAAGGTGTTTGCCTGGGCAGCTGCACACAAAAGAATGAAGGGCCACCCAGGCATGGCTTCACTAATTAGGTGCCTGGACCCTGGAGAAGATGCACATGTAAGGTGAGGTGGTGGCCTTAGGAGAAATGGGGGTAAATGGGAGGGGACAGTGGGATGAGAAGAGGGGGTTGGGGGAAATTTGGGATGTGCAGGGCTGTGGTAGCCAGAGAAAGAAGTGACTTTCCAGGGCTGAGGCTGTTGGGGAGAGATGGCCATCCTTCCCAGCCCCCACTCAGGGGCTGCCTCGGCCGGGGAGAGAGGGAGAGATCCCCCCCCGTCCTTTATAGACCCAGCTCGGGGGCTGCCGCAGCGGGGGGAGAGGGGCACATCCATCTCATTAGAAAGGTAAGACTACTGATATTAAAATATGAGTTGTGTGCTTTTATTTGTAGAACAAAAAATGTTCATTATAATAACATTTTTTTATATAGCGCTTTTATCCAAAGCGCTTTACAATAGTTAGCTAATGGTACAAACAACATTTGGAAAGATCATTAAGTGGTCCACCAAGACCCTCAGCAATTTTCAAGTGATCTATGAAAAAAAATTTGAGAACCACTGCTCTATAACTTACAGATTTTAAGATAGAAAGATAAATACCTGTGCAAGAATGGGGAATCCAAGGTTCCTACATCCATTGCAGGGTGTCAGTGCCTCCCATAAACCTGCAGGACCACAACTGTTTTCCCGGACATCTTCCTCTTCCTCCTCCCCTGGTGAGAGGTTTGCTGATGAAGGCCTCTGTGGAAAATTAAGTTTACTGGAACATTATGCAGAAACATTTTGCTTTATTTTACCATAGTTAAAAATGCTAAGATTGATTGAGAAACTTCACATTTCCAGAAACTGATAAATATACTGCATTTTCAACTTAATACAGTGCATCTATTCAATCAATAATCAGTAAAGCATATTATATTACCTAAAGAAAAAAAGATGTGATGAGCTACAGTAAGCTGTATTTTAAATAGTCTCTGTCTCTGAAATCCTCTTATTACTCACCTTCAGTCTACAAATAATATTCAGATTATGTATAATGTACAACACCAGACACCCTGCAACTTTTCAATTGAAAAAAAGAGCATTTTAATTTAAATTTTAGTTTTTACATTATTTTTCCACTAGAGCTTGCAGAGAATGAAAACTAACATTAAATTTTTACTGCTCTTAGAAATTGTACAGTAGGTAGAATATTGCAGAAACACCAGAAGATAATGGGATCTTCTTTCCACAGCCAAATATTATATTAATTAAAAATATATATATAACTACAACCATTTTAGCTTGAATTGGCCAGTGGCTTTTGCAGAGAAGTAGTAGAAATTTAATCACAATTTAGGATAAAATTTTTAGTTTGATGTTTACCAATGATGAAAAAAGGTAACTTGTTATGTATGGTGAACAATACTTATTGCTTTTTCATTTAAAAAAAAAAAACCAAAAACCTGCTATGTTTGTTTGCCCTAAACAGCAAGGGCAAGGGGTTTCAGGGAAAGTGATTCTATTGTTACCGTTTTGTTTCCTGCTTCAAGTCTTTGTTGCACAGACTCAAAATTTTGCCTACTGTGGAGCCACTGAGCATATTTGAAACACATTTTATGTTTTCATTTTAAACACTGTCATTATTCTATAACGGTTGTTGGGAGAAAAGGTGGGCATTTTTCTATTTACACAGATCATCCCCCTTTTCTTGACTGTGATCCTACCTCCTGCCCCCATCCTTAGTAAGGAGTTGTAGGGTGGGATTTTCAAAATTATACTGTGTTAGCCTATCTTTGATCCCACTGAAGTGAATCACAGTTTTATCATTTATTTCAGTAGATGATATAGGTCAATGCTGAACACTTCTGAAAAACCCTACCCTTAGAACAAAGTTACACTAAATAAAGTTACACATCTTGTAAGGGCTTATCTATACTACTGCTAAAGTTGATGTAACTTGAAACCCTCTCCCCTTCCCTCCCCCCAACATAAGGTACATTGATTTAAAGCAGTGTCTACACTGCACTATGTCGGTGGGAAACACTCTCCTGCCGACATAGCTTCGGCCTCCTGTTGAGGTGGAGTAATTACATCGACAGGAGACCGCGTCAATGCAACTGCACCAACGTAGCGCAGTAGTGAAGACAACCCCTAAATTACACTTCCATCTTAATTCCATGCCCCATGTGGTTACTTTGCTCACGTCTAACTCACGTATATAGAATAACCGGCCCATGGACCAGTTCCAGCCTGCATGATATGTTTTGCCTTCCTCTGTAGCATGGGGCACGGGTCACTTGCTGGAGGATTCTCTGCTCCTTGAAGTCTTTAAACCACCATTTGAGGACTTCAATAGCTCAGACATAGGTGAGATGTTTTTCACAGGAGTGGGTGGGTGAGATTCTGTGGCCTGCGTTGTGCAGGAGGTCGGACTAGATGATCATAATGGTCCCTTCTGACCTTAGTATCTATGAATCTATATGGCCCCACTAACATTCAGATTCTAAACTTTCATTTAACAGAAAAAAGTTTGGAGCGCTCATGTTTGCAAATATACTGTCCAAATGCGAGTAAGTAGTCCTAAATTCAGACTCCAGCCCATTGACCCAAGATTAAATTCAGAATTTATTGCTCTCCACCAGTTTTTACTCCCTTGGTTTAAACTCACTGTATCACCCATTACAATACTGGAGCATCAAACCCTAGGTGGGTTTTTGTTGTTGTTTTGTTTTTGTTTTTTGAGTGGTTGGTTTTTCTTGGGGGAAAAGAGGAAGGGGGCTTTTAAGAGTGCATGTTTGTTTACTTTGCATTTTAAGATTCATTTTCTAAATCTGTTATTTTTTGAGGTTATTCTGACAGTCAAGTAGTGCTACAGCATGTGTTACTATAGCAACAGCATTTTTGCATGGATTATTAAGAGAATTGGGGGAACTCTGCAGGGTTTGGGTCATGAAGGAGTTCTATTGTTATATAGTTGTGTAGGATCAGAAGCAACCCCCGGGGCCTTGCTATCTAAAATTATGTTATGCTACCATCTGTCATTTTTATCCTATATGTTTACAATGGAAATATATAAGCTTTAAGCATTGTGACAAAAAACAAAGCACTCCCTTAACAAAAAACAAAACAAAAACCTAGCTTGCCCTCTATTCCCCAAAGGTGACAATCTACTTCTAGTCACAAAAATTTAGATTTCTATAATAAACAATGTCTACTGCATGCTTTGGCACACTTACTTTTGTTTTTATAACTGTGGCAATTTGCTTATGCCACTCCAAAAATATAGAAACATTCCCAAGAAACTCCCTGAAAAAGCACAAGAACAAATCCGCACAGACACACCCCTGAAACCCTGACCTGGGGTATTCTGCTACCCAAGATCCATAAACCTGGAAATCCTGGACGCCCCATCATCTCAGGCAATGGCACCCTGACAGCAGGATTCTCTGGCTATGTAGACTCCCTCCTCAGGCCCTATGCTACCAGCTCTCCCAGCTATCTTCGAGACACCACTGACTTCCTGAGGAAACTACAGTCTATCGGTGATCTTCCTGAAAACACCATCCTGGCTCTATGGATGTAGAAGCCCTCTACACCAACATTCCACACAAAGATGGACTACAAGCCGTCAGGAACAGTATCCCCGATAATGTTACGGCAAACCTGGTGGCTGAACTTTGTGACTTTGTCCTCACCCATAACTATTTCACATTTGGGGACAATGTATACCTTCAAATCAGCGGCATTGCTATGGGTACCCGCATGGCCCCACAGTATGCCAACATTTTTATGGCTGACTTAGAACAACGCTTCCTCAGCTCTCGTCCCCTAATGCCCCTACTCTACTTGCGCTACATTGATGACATCTTCATCATCTGGACCCATGGAAAAGAAACCCTTGAGGAATTCCACCATGATGTCAACAATTTCCATCCCACCATCAACCGCAGCCTGCATCAGTCCACCCAAGAGATCCACTTCCTGAACACTGCAGTGCGAATAAGTGATGGTCACATAAACACCGCCCTATACCGGAAACCTACTGACCACTATTCCTACCTACATGCCTCCAGCTTTCATCCAGACCACACCACACGATCCACTGTCTATAGCCAAGCTCTATGATACAACCGCATTTGCCCCAACCCCTCAGAGAGAGACAAACACCTACAAGATCTCTATCAAGCATTCTTACAACTACAATACCCACCTGCCGAAGTGAAGAAACAGATTGACAGAGCCAGAAGAGTACCCAGAAGTTACTACTACAGGACAGGCCCAACAAAGATAATAACAGAACACCACTAGCCATCACCTTCAGCCCCCAACTAAAACCTCTCCAACGCATCATCAAGGATCTACAACCTATCCTCTCACAGATCTTGGGAGACAGGCCAGTCTTTACTTACCGACAGCCCCCCAACCTGAAGCAAATACTCACCAGTAACCACACACCACACAACAGAACCACTAACCGCAGGAACCTATCCTTGCAACAAAGCCCGTTGCCAACCGTGTCCACATATCTATTCAGGGGACACCATCATAGGGCCTAATCACATCAGCCACACTATCAGAGGCTCGTTCACCTGCACATCTACCAATGTGATATATGCCATCATGTGCCAGCAATGCCCCTCTGCCATGTACATTGGTTAAACTGAACAGTCTCTACGTAAAAGAATAAATGGACACAAATCAGATGTCAAGAATTATAAAATTCAAAAACCAGTTGGAGAACACTTCAATCTCTCTGGTCACTCGATTACAGACCTATAAGTGGCAATACTTCAACAAAAAGACTTCAAAAACAGACTCCAACGAATGACTGCTGCTTTGGAATTAATTTGCAAACTGGATACAATTAACTTAGGCGTGAATAGAGACTGGGAGTGGATGGGTCATTACACAAAGTAAAACTATTTCCCCATGTTTATTCCTCCCCCCACCCCCCACTGTTCCTCAGACATTCTTGTCAACTGCTGGAAATGGCCCACCTTGATTATCACTACAAAAGGTTCCCCACTCCCCGCTCTCCTGCTGGTAATAGTTCACCTTAAGTGATCACTCTGGTTACAGTGTGTATGGTAACACCCATTGTTTCATGTTCTCTATGTATATAAATCTCCCCACTGTATTTTCCACTGAATGCATCCGATGAAGTGAGCTGTAGCACACAAAAGCTTATGCTCAAATAAAATTGTTAGTATCTAAGGTGCCACAAGTACTCCTTTTCTTATTCCCTGGAAGAGTATAATAAAAAGTTCCCTTCACTGCTGGCATAATAAAACAACACTCTCCAATTCTAGTCTTCTAGTTCCAGCCTATCCACTGACCTCACACCAGTCAAGATTAACTTTCATAACCACTCAGCTTTAAGTGCTTTAATCATAATATCTCATCTTCAGATTTTCATATCTGAGTCCTACTTTCTCCAACTTCATTTCTTGATTCAGATAAGGTGACTAATACTGTGCTCCAAATGCGGTGTAACAAATAATTTTACTTGGTGTTTCCCAATTGCACTCTGCCACTTGGCTCCAGAACTAAAATTTGACTCATACCTGCAGGTTTGCTTGAAGGTTTGAGTTCAGGAAATTTGAACCTATAAGAAGTTGAACTTTGTGCAACTCTCTCCCCGTCCTTATCTGCAATCACTCCATCCTTCTAAATAAGAAGTGGGCAACAAACTAAGCAAACTCATTAATGACTTGACTTCTGAGGCTTAGATTGGGAAATGAAGGCATAAACAGTGCAGT